AGCACAAGATCAAGGTACTCTTTTTTGAAAGACATCCTTTTTTTTTTTTTTTTTTTTTTTTTTTGTGTGTGTCTCTCCGTGAGAAACTGATGGTGGCACTGGAGAAATTAATGGTATTAAATAGTGATTGTTTCCTTGCAGCTTAACCTAAGAAAGATAGAATTTTCTTGATAAGATATACATGAAGTGGACTCTCGGTGGTGGTGCCTTTCGTTAAAAGGCACCTTTTGTTAAAAGGCACCTTTTGACTTTCATCCATGATAAAGACATCTTGCAATTTTTATTTTAAAATATGTGGAAATAATGCAGGCATCAAAGAATTTAAAAGAAAATGGTAGCTACAAGCTATTGAATATTGATTAATTGGTTTTGGTGGAATATAAGGAACACTTCAAATGTGCGTCAGTGCTGTTTGGTAGTTGGGGGCTTCAGTCTCTCACGGCACCATATTTATGTGCATTTCATTTTCCTGAATTCTGTGAATTTAGAACTCAAACTTTCGTGTCTACATTTGCCTATTGAATTTGCAGTTAATGTAAAGAACTGCAGAAGAAAGCTTCAAGTTTCAAATGCAAACATTATGTGAACTGCAGAAGAAATTTAATCACATAATATCAAATTTTCGTTTTTATATTTGCTAACAACTTAAGTAGTTAAGTGATAATATTATTCTATTAAAAGTAAAATATTTTGAATTCGAGTTATATAACATGTAAGTAAGATAAATTAAGGGGTAAGAGAGAATTACCTGTTATTATACCAACCTAAAATCTAAAAGGAAAAAAAAAAAGTGATTAAATACTCTATGGATAGACTTATTGACCTCACACCATAAATTGGACTTTTCTTGTAGTGACTGAAACCAGCCTTTGAGTGCACCACCATGCACATGAGCTAGTAGTCGGTACAAGGAGCTTGCCAACCTAAAATTGAAAAGAAAAAAAGGAAAATTATGTGATTAAATACTTTAGGGATAGACTTCAATAAGGGACCTCACACCATAAATTGGACTTTTCCTATTGTGACTGAAACCAACCTCTGAGTGCACCACCATACATATGAGCTAGTAGTCAGTACAAGGAGCTTGCTTTGGTTGGATGGATGGGAAGGGTTGAGACCAACTCAGAGAGACTAATGGGTTTGCCGTAGCTGTGGACCATATCGGGTATCCCTAGCTATATTGAACGCTTGAGAGACATTTAACTTATGAAGTTATGAAGGAAATTAAACTAAGAAAAAAGAGATTGAGTGCAGAAACAACACAGTTTTCATTATGTAAAATACTTAAATACACAAATAAGGGTAGTTACAAAACTACCTCAACAATTATTCAATACAAATAAATTTAAACAAACTGCTATAAACTTAAAAACACTTAAAACAAACTGCAGCAAACTAATTCAAATTGCAAACAAACTAAAGTAAATTCAAATAACAAACAAATAGACTCAATCGGACAACAACATAGGAGCTTTGTTGGCATGCTTATCTTGAACGGTTCCAACAACCTCCTCCTTGGCAACAAAGCTGCAAATGCCAAGCTGGTCTCTAAATTCTTCAAACCTTTTCTTCAGCAAAGATTTGGTGAAAATATTTGCTAACTAATCTTCTGAGCTGCAATATAGAATCTGCACCTTCTTTTCCTTTTTAGCAAGCCTTAAAGTTCCACAAACACAGAAAAAACTTCGAATACTTGCTTCAAAAAATAAACCCATCACATATATTCCATTGAAATCATCAATAAACAATAAGGAAAGGTTGCTGCCATTTATTGATGAGATTTGCACTGAACCACAAAAAACAATATGAACAAAATGGAGCCTTTTTGTAGCTCTCCAAGCCTTGTTCACTATAAAAGAAAACTTACTAAAATCTCCCTTTTGACTTACACCATACACCATCAAACCTCCCATGCCATTTCTCATATTCATCCACAACAGTAGTGCATGCTTTAATTTCAGTTTGACTCCAATCAATAGAAAATTTTCTATGATTCATAGCGGCAGTAAATAATTTTACACCAAGTTTATCAATCACATCAACACATTCATCATGAAGATGCACTACATAACCATTCTCTAATAGTTGACCAACACTAATCAAATTTTGGCTCAAGCAAGGCACATATAAAACATCACAAATGTACTTGATACCAGTTGATGTATTAACAGTAATTGTCCCTTTTCCTTTCACTTCAACAAGTTCTCCATTTCCAAGTCTAACCATTGAAAAATAGGATATGTCAAGTGTCTTGAAAATGGCCAGATTTGAGGTCATATGATGGGTACACCCACTATCAATGAGCCAAGAATTTGAACCCAAAAACGTTGATGAACAACTCTCAACCACAGCAGCCACAAACAATTCTTCTACCTCCTAATCTACATTCTCAACAACTTGAGCTTTCTCATATTGTTTTGCCTTAGCTTTGCAAACCTTTTCATCATGGTCAAATTGCTTACATGACCTGCATTTTACACCAGGCCTAAACCAGCAGTAAGTTGCCGTATGAGTCATCTTTCCACAGTGTGGACAGGGAGGATAAGGCTTTTTCTTGCCTCTATAATTGTTGCTTTGTTGGTCTTTTTGAAAATCTCTTTTTTCTTTTCCACCGTTGTCCAAAAATTGCTTCTCTTCGTCATCTTCTTTGAACTAACCCTTTCCTCTTTCATTTGCAATAAAAGCACCTTCAACATCACCTTTAACTTTTTGCCTTATTGCTTTCCTTTGTTCTACAGCTTGAAGCGCATTCACAAGTTCTGAAAGTGTCATTTGTGTCATGTCCTTTGAGTCCTCTAGAGAAGAAATTTTATGCTCAAATTTCTTTGGTAAACTCACAAGAACCTTATCTACAATCCTCTTCTCTGTAAGTTCTTCACCAAGTATTCTAATATGATTCACCACCTTCATTGCCCTGTCAGAAAATTCTTTCACAGTTTCTATTTCTTTCATCCTGAGAACCTCAAATTTCCTCTTAAGATTAACCACTTGAATTTGCTTTGCCTTTGTATCTCTGTGGAACTCCTCCTTGAGTTTATCCCAGGCCTTTTTTGTTGTTTCACAAGTCATAATTCTTGTAAAAATTTCTTTAGACACTGTAGAATGAATGGTGGTCAGTGCCTTGTATTTCTTTGTCACTTCCTCTGTGTGACACCTTATTTGGTTCAAGGTTGCATTTCTAGGCAAAGGAGGTGGATCAATATCATGCTCAACAGCATCCCAGAGGTCAAATGCTCTTAGATATGCCTTCATTTTAATTGACCAAACTTGATAGTTTTGGCCACAAAAAACAAGGACCTTTGCAATGAAACTGATAGTTGCTTCCATGATTTTTGCTTGAACTCTCTCAAATATTGGTGCTAAAACCTCACAAACCCTCACGGATCAGAAAAGCTCTAATACCAATTGAAGGAAATTAAACTAAGAAAGGAGAGATTGAGTGTAGAAGCAACACAGTTTTCATTATGTAAAATACTTAAATACACAGATAAGGGTAGTTACAAAACTACCTCAACAATTATCCAATACAAATAAACTTAAACAAACTGCTATAAACTTTAAAACACTTAAAACAAACTGCAGCAAACTAATTCAAACTGCAAACAAACTAAAGTAAATTCAAATAACAAACAAATAGACTCAATCGGACAGCAACATAGTAGCTTTGTTGGCATGCTTATCTGGAATGGTTCCAACAAGTTAAATATCTGCTTATATAAATGAGCTTGAGCTTGAGAAAAACTCATGTCCTCCTCTAGTAACTCTGCAAATTTCTTTGCATTTTTTTTTTAAAAAAATGGAACTGCAAATCACTTTGTTGACGAAAGATTAGAAAGATCAGTCTTAGTTTGTCTCTGGTCAGGCTACAATTCTAGTTATTTCAATAGCAGCATGAGATGCATCTAAAACAAACAAAAATAAAAACAAAGGAGGAATATTCCCACTATGGATAGACTTCAATCAGGGACCTCAAACCAAAAATAGGCCTTATCTTGTAATGACTGAAACCAGCCTCCACAAACAGCCTTTCCCAATCTTTCTCATTTCTTTCTCTCCCAGTCACGTAAGCCATCATCATCATGTCAAAATAGAGCTTTGCTTCAATTAATTCATGTTCATCTTTCTTCTCATTTATCACAATATCTATGATAATCACCTTTCCTCCTCCTCCCTTGTTCATGATAGCTTCTCTGCATCTCTTCAGTACCTTTATGCAGTCTTCATCACCATAAGCATGTAAAACAAGCTGCCAAACATCATTTACTATCACCATTAGAAAACTTTATGCAATTAATGGTTAGGCAGCAAAAAGATGGGGTGAAGCGTTACGGCCACCATATAAAATGTTAAGGCCACCAATTTTTCAATTTTTTTCTTAAATAGTATCAAAAAAATATTAGTTTGTTATCTGATTTTAATTTGTTAACTAATAAATATTAATTGTTTTATTAGTTATTAATTAATAGTTATAATTATTAGTCATTTTTATCAATTAAATTAAATAAAATCAATATTTTTAAAGATAATATT